GCAACAGAACTTTTGTTCATTGTTTGATCAATGTTTAAATGGCATCTACCTTCCATCTCATAAAGAAAAGTGAAAAATGGGTCTCATATGCATGTATCAAATAATTCACAAAGGTCAGTTGTGATTGCTCCATTGTGGGTGGGCTGAAAGTTCTAGCTTGGTTTGATCTTAAAGTGATTGTTTGCCATTAATTCCCCATGCATTCGGCTGAATTTGACCCTGCATGATTATTCAATTATTGATTATTGAATAATAAAATGTGCAAATATCCCTCTTTGTTTGAGTTTCCCTCAGTCATTCAATCACAGTGGGTTTTTCTTTGTAAATTGATATTTTTGCTTTAAATTTTAAATCTAGGCATCACATAACACTCACCATGCTAAGGGTTGTCCTGGTTAGCCGAGCCATAGTGTTTAAATAAAGAAAAGTTGTCCTGCTTGTCAGGGTGCCAAGGCGTGACACGAGCCAAGGCGAGACAACTCACCCACCCCTGTTGTCTTGTGGGCGAGACAGGTTCATGATCCTAAATGTAAACGGTTGGTTGAATTTTTCAAAGAAATAAGTGAAAAGTTAGCTTGGCAAGGGTAACTCAGGAGAAGGGTTGTCTTGGGTGTCCAAGACCATATGAATGGGCCCTAAGGGCCATTCTATTTTATTTCCACACTCTCTCTTCCTCTGTTAACAAAAGCTTTAGAAGTGGCTATGAAACTGTTATTTCTGCACTTTTATCTTTTCTGTTAGGTGGTAAATTTTGACTTATTTTGTGAGTGTGGCTTGGAGGGGGGTGGGGTGGATAGAAAATGGAATATCTCTTGTCAGCTCTGGGCCCAAGTTGTGTGTTGTCCAACTGATTATGCACAATATACTTCCAAAATCTTTATGGGTAGGTGTTTGAGAGGATCATCTTATATGTTCATCATTACAGTGGAACCCCGCATTATGGCCACCCCATTCACACAGCCACCTTGTTATTACGGCCACTTTATTCTGGGTCGAAATTTAAAGAACCCCTCTAATATGGCCACACTGTTAATATGGTCAGATTTTTGTGGCCCATGGGCAACTGGATTAACAGAGTTCCACTGTAATTTAAAATTGTCAATGTTGGTTGTTTGTAAAATGTTTGTACATGTACCTCACGAAGGTGAAAATAAATTTTGAGCTATTACCCACAAAACAAAATTCTTTACCGTACATTTTAGGAGTGATGTACACAATTTACAATAGGCATCAAGTATAACTTTGATAGTGAAGTCCCATAACTCTATTCAACCTTCTCTGATATAGGCTTTTCTGGCCACCTTTGGCTTTCTATTTTGATATTTGCCAATGGTGCCTCATCTGCATGATCCAACAAGCATATTAATATTTAAGGTTGAAGGTGGCCTGGAAAAGAATGAGTTGCCATGGGAAAATACAGGCTGTAATTATAATTTTGATAGCCATAGGTGTGTTTCCAGTAGAACTATAAGCCTAGCAACTTGATGTAATATTGAGTTGAGTGTATGATATCATTAGTAACCTCATTTGCATATTTTACACATTTTTCAAACTTAAATGCAATCTTTGGAACTGATGCAGATATTTGCAAAAGGTTAACAGCATTTTAAATCTTTTGTGGAATTCTATATATGTGATACACCTACAAATTCTGACTCAAGGGGTTAAAGCTAAATGAGAGAAGCACGTTAAAGAATTGAGTTGAATTTATGCTGTTGGCAAAAGTTTACTGTAAGACGTTGAAGAGAATTTTGGAGGGGAGTTTGGTGTGGTTATTGAATTGACAGAGGTTGGTTTTGCTATTGTTTTTGTTATTGTCTTCTATATTTTCGAGGCAGAGTGGTTGTTGGCAAAAGCAAAACTGGCAGTGTCCTCGCTGATCTGTGTTTAGGTGTTTTGGGGTTTTTGTCTCTGACATTGAAGTTCAATTTAAGTAGTGATACACTGTCTTTACAACAGAACATATGGATATTTATAGTATAATTACTTTAATATCCTCATGCCAAAATTATAGTAATTTTATGGCTCAATTTCTACCTCTGCTTTAATTTGTTTACACCAGTTTATTTTTTTAAACCAATTTAATGTCATCAAAGCGGAAGGGGGAATCTGAGAGCAATAATAAATTAGACCTACAAATATAAATAAATTTGCAATGATTGCTCTCATGGTCTAGTGGAGATGAAGTGGACCAAAAGGTAAGAGATCTGATGTTTGAATATAGGTCTGTCTGTTCAAAATAAAAAAAAAAGATTGTATTGTAGTATGGGAGTATTATGGTAAGTTATGTTTAGGGGGTTGATATGGGATCCTGGCTGTACTGTTGTAAGGTAGGAATAGGGACAGAGGGGTGGGTGGTGTGCTTGTGATTCTTTTCAAGAACCACTCTGAAAGTGAAAACAAACTGGTTTGAAAATTTTACGGTAGAGGTAAAAATTATACATTATATCTTGTTTTTCTTAGGCGGTAAATGAGCAAATACCCACAAGAGAAATACAAACAAGAGAAGCACTTTATTTCTCTTCTTAATCAGTGTTCTTCTGAATTCCTCTTGTTAAACTAAATTATTTTTTTTCTGTTGAGATAACATTTTTACACTGGACTTTTCCTCTGAAACCCTTACTAACAAAATAATCATTGCTTACGAAAATTATACTTTTTACGATAACTGTAGAAATTGTTGTGCGTTCATTGGCTAATTTTCATCGTCAATAAGCAGACTTTTAGGCACATAAATTTATAATTGAGATGTGTCAATGAGCGAGAGTGTACAATTTGGCAATGAATTTGTTATTTTAGAAAAACAAATTGATGTCAGTTTTTCCTGTGTTTGCGAATGAGTATTTGAGCGTATGCTATCACCCCATGGATCCACAGCAACTGTGACAACGTTATGACCAAATTCATGATCAATAATGTTCAAGACAAATGCATGGAAAACTGACGTCAATTTGTTAAACTGAAAAAGATCCGGTTGTTGGTCTTTTTGTGACTGATGGAGGTCTC